AAGCGAATAAACGACGGGACGTCGATAACCATCGCGCTCGTACGGCCCGGTAGTTTCGATCACGCGCCGGACTATCGATTCGTGGGATCGATCCAGTCGCTTTCAGTTCCCCGAGCTGTCTCTCGCGCCCATGCACGTTTTGTTATCCGCTCGATCATTCCGGGCGTAATCGGTCCTACGGTCGCACGAAACAATGTTCGCTCTCCTAGCGAGACCGTGCCGACGAACGATGAAGCTGACGCTATTCCGTGGAATGGATGCCAGAACAGAGAATGCCGGACCACCGGTGCACGCATCCTGCTGCACGCAGATATACAACGGTGATTTATTAGGTGGGGAATTCCAATTCGCGGCCCCACCCGCCGTAGACCGCGGTCGAATCTAGTAAACATCTTCGATCCTCTTCGAAACGGTTCCTCTCCGAACACGGGGACACATACGCGTGTAGTCGCAGAATTTCCACACGGTGCCCCGTCGAAAACCCATTTATACGGGACGTCTGTTTGTCCCCGACGATTAGTCGCCGAACAATTACCGTAACAACCGATGGTGCATCGAGGAAAGAATAAAAGGAAAAGCGTCGCGATGCAAACGCGAACAGGACGAAGCGCGCGCGCGCGGATTTCGAAGAGTATCGACTTCGTTTAATTGCTGTCGCGATTGTCGGTAATTGCACATCCATCGGTTTCCGTAACAAGAAAACGAGGTAATAACCGTGGAAACAAATAATGGTTTTATTCCGTCTCTCGAATTTTCGCAGTTGTTATCGCGTCAATTTATATTTGATTGGAGAGAAAGCTCTTTCCGGCGTTGCGTTTGTCATTATTATCGGTGACCGTGAGCATCCACGACGCGTCTAACAAATACAGAAATTCGGCGGAAGTTTTTTAAGCCGAGCTCTGAATTGGACGTTTGTCCGTGTTGCGACTGTACGCGATACGCTTGCATCTTTTATATCTCATCAGCGATACGGCCTGACCCTCTTTTGATACTGCCCCGGACTTACCCGACTGCTAACGAAGTTTCACTTTTAAGACACCGGTGCCTTTTCTCCTTCGCTTCATATTCCCGCTCGTAGGGATTCAAACGTAGCGAAATTCAGATGCATTCTAACTAGAGATCTCTATTTCGCGTACAGTTATTACGAGGGTCGTTCTCGATTCAATTACGCGTATGAATTAAATGGTAGCGTGTTACGAGAAGGGCCCGGGATTAAAAACGTACCGTTTTATATGAAACACGGGTAAAAATTTATCTTTTCCAGGAACGGTCACTTTATACTTGGTTGGCCTGTATGATATCCGACAAATAACTACGGCTAGATCGACGAAAACGGAAAGGACTCTTTCGTCGATCCAATAATTGCTTCGAAGCGGGTCGACGCGGAAAAAAACAATACGAAGGAAGCACGATCGCCGTAGGGGACCACTTTCGCCTCGCCCACGCCCTTACAATGTTTCGCCGCCGCCCGAATCGGGGGTTTGAGTGTTCTATCGGGCCGATCGACTGGACGGTGAACGTTTTATTACGCCCGCAGCCGGCAATTTCGAGAATAAGCCGTCACGGACACTGGCGTGGAAATGAAAAACGTCGCGTCGCTGGGTGTCAGGCGTAGGAGGAAACCGGACGATGGCCTCCGTGCGTTCCTCTTCCGCGGAAATATCAGTCTGGCGGTGGTGAGTTATATCCCCGTAAGGTATTATTCCCGCGGTAAGAGATGGCACAGCAGCTATCGGATTCCGTTATCACTGCGTCGTGTACGCCGTCCGTGGATTGCGCCGCAAAATAACAGCCCGGAGAAATAACGTATTCCGGCGGTCTTGCAGCGTCCTCCAAGGAACGTACGCCCGTCCTTGTTCGCTTCTCACCGACCAACCCTTTCTTCTATTCGCCCCTAACCGAGAAAGACGGAGCCCCGAGAAAGAGAACAGTGGCCAGAAAACGAAACGCAACCGAGCCCACGCGGCCTTAAAAATTTAAATACGTTCAGCGTCCAACAGTCAAGGTTCATGCTACCTATGAAATTAACCGGAGCGATGCTAGACAATTGAAGAAATACCCTACGACCTCGACACGAGAATAATTTGCAAACCTAATACCGACGAGAGTTACAAGAATTTTTATTTTAACTTTGCGGAAACCTTCGATCTCGGTTTCATAAATCGTGGCTCTCCGATACCGGGGGATTCTTCATCCTCGGTTTAAATTCTACCTGCCGGTTATATAACAATTTTTACGAACACGCGGGATCCCGTTAGGCAAGGACAAAAGGATTGCCGCGAAGCGTGTCCCCCCTGAAATAGGAGTACGACTAAACCGAAACTTAAACTACTGCCCCCCGTGTTACGGATGGGAATTTATCGTCGATAGGCGAGATAGATGTGAGCAGAAAGGCTCTACCGCGGCCATCTATACACGGCCGTAGATACGCACGTGTGAGTCGGCTATTAATACCCACAAATTATAAATAATGTCGCTACCACGACCACAAATCAACGTTTACCGTAATACCGGGCGTGGGGCTTTCGACTGGTCGGAGGATTAAGCGCTTTTCGAGAGACGCTTACCTGCCGGTAGAAGGAAGATGAAGGGCGAATAGCGAGGCAGAGTCGATTCTACGTCCAGCTGCGATCGAAAACTGAAACCCGAGGGAGTGGATCTGCGCATTAAACCCCTTCCAGAGGAATGTACTGCCTTTGTGCAAAATGTTCTCTGATAATATCGAGGCTGCTGCGAGTAATATCGATATTGCTATCGCCTTCCAGTTCGGTGCAGCCAATCGCACGAGGAAAAAGAGGGAGTATGTTTAATCTTAACAAAGTATTAAATGCAAAGGTTGTAAAACGATATCCGTTCCCATCCTTTTTCCCCCCTCGATACTTTGATATTTTAGCGAAAATCGTTTGAAAACGGTGGATAAAACTCGAAGTACGAGATAAAACCAGATCTGGTCTGTACAGCTCTGCAGCCTTTTAACTTAACGATGAAAATTTCTCATATCCACGGTAAATATTTGCGAACCTAGGTTTGGGCTGGTTTACACTGTCCGAACGTTTTATCATTCCGTGTACACGGTGACAATTTATCACGAAACTGACAGTGCTCGCGGACAAGAATCGCGGCCAAACGGAAGCGTGCAGTATTTAACTATAGAAACGTGGTACGGACTGCTTGCTTTCCAGCCAAACTAATAAAGAACGGAGATCATTGTTACCGTGATACCAAAAAATTTCCGCAGCGACGCAAAGTCGGAAGCGAGACGCTCGATGGGACCCGGATCGCGAGTTCGATGTTTCAAAGTTTCCAACGGAGTTTCGCGTAACTGCGCGTCGATGTCCTTCGAGGGACAGGGAGTTCGTAGGGCCAAGTAAGTTCGGTATGCACGCTCGAGCGTGGAATAAGAAACGAGAGCACCGAATGGCCCGGGAAGATGCCGTGGCACGATATCCGTATGCCTGCGTCGCGGATCTTGTCTAGTTGTCTTCGGGCAGCGACGCGGTGCACCGGCATCGGGCACCGCGACGCTCCGGGAAGCGAGAAGGAGCGAGGAGTACCCCGTCAAACAGATTGAAATCAACGGGGAAGCGACTTCTATTTTCTCCTCTGCACTGTGCCGGAGCCAGATCTGAAATGAAAATCTGCGGCCCCGCGAGCGAGGAACCGCAAGATAATTCAGAAAGAGGAACAGAGAGAAAGGGTGATGGGAGGAGAGAAACGAGAGAAGAAAGGGAAGCAGCATCCTTGTGCACGCTCCTTCACGGATTTCAAGCATTCCGTCAGGCTGATTAAAACGTCCCGACGCAACGTGACCGAATTACGAATTTCATTTTTTAGCCCAACCAGTCATAAACGGCAAGATTTGCAAATATTTCTCTGCTAAAAAGATCGCACGATACGAGATAATTAAATTAAAAGGACGTATCTCGATAAGTGATCGACTACTGGATCGATATACATGGCGCAAACGTTTCGATATTCAATTAACGATTTTATGTTACGCCCGACCGCGGTACTGTCGAGACAGATATTAAGTTTAATAATCGGAACCGGATAGAAACGCAACCAGTATTTATTGTTTCGCGTACGCGCGTCATCTTTCACGGTCGTAGCGAAACGAATCGACCAACAGAACGAACGGGCGAACGAACTGGAAAAGAGACATGAAAAAACTTTTCCGTTATCAGATAGAATTCTAGCGTGGCAAAAAATACGAGAGAAAAGAGGGCTTTAGCCCGCGCGAATCCGCCCGGTAAGCGTTTTTTCCCTGACTCTGGCACAGGCAAAAGGGAGAGGGATAAAGAGAGGGAGAGGTAGAGCTAACGGTGGAGTTTCAAGTTACGGGGAAAATTTTATATAATCCGTAGCCGGTTTCGGGGACAGAAATTTGAAAAAAAACTCCTCCGCTCGATTCGGAAATCCCCGCGCTTTTACGGCCAGTAAATCGTTTTCCACCCTTCGATATATCCGGCAACTTACAAGTTTCGTTCCTTTCGCAACGAAATACGTTATTCTCCGTGTTCCAGCATATTTTTCCCCCTCCCCCTCGTATCTACTCTCGACTTTCATTTCCTAGCCGTAGGAACTTTCGATTAAATTTTCACAGAGAAACTCCCGCGCACGAGAGTCACGCTCACCCAAGTAGCCCGAGTAATTTCAGCCCGAACGTCTCGATCCTTTGACGCGACCCGCTGCGACTAATGTAACCCGTGCATATTCAAATCCGCGACCCCGTGATATATCGGGCGTTCAACAACAAATTCGATCAAACTTTACTAGGCAATTCTGCCGACTGGATCCCTTCATCCAGGCAAAATTGTCTCCGCAAACAAATAAACGGCAGTTTATTCTATAAAGAGAGAGAAACTTATATATTATTTCAAACGAACGACGTTACTTAATATACGAACACGTTAATAGCCAAAGCGGGTAGTGATGTACGCTACAAATATACATATAGAATTCATTTCATTTTATTTCTTTTGATTGTGAATTGGGATTATTCGCATGGCACGCAACGCCGGTGTTCCGCGAAACACAATTTGGTAGGCGTAGCTCTAAGGGCCCCAGCTGCGACTACCATAATCATAGTAAATATAATACACCCGGCTTGCTTGGGCCGTGGCGCAAGACGCGCGCGCTTAATCCGCGTTTGACGTTCGCTAGCCTGTTGGCTAGGCACATACGAGCGTACGATATTGCGCCAAACCGAGCAATTACTGTCGGTAATCTCGCTAATAGAATTCCAATATGCGTGCCAATTGAACCGAGGCGCCGTGTGGCCGTGCGGGCGTGAATGTGCAGATTGTGCGCGCACGACGAAAGCCGTGACACGGTTCCGCCATTAACTACAGACTCGATTTACTTGGCTTTGTTTCTTTGTCGCGCGCCGCCTAGAACGCGCTAACTGTGAAACTGTCGCTGGCCAAGCCTGGCCGTATGCATCTGGTCGCAAACAGGCGCAAAGAAAAATCAAGGGAGGAAATGCGAACTATTTTCAGTGCTATACATCGGGTGCGAGTACCCGAGAACATGCGAGGGGTTTGCGCTTCCGGTTGTCTTCGGATCGAATCTTAAATCGTACGATCGTTTCCAGCGTGCACCGTGAGGGTGCAGTCTAGACGCATATTTCTCGTTACAGATTGGATCTCGAACCGCTCGTTATACTTGGCTGCCTCGATACAATATTTCAAATACTTCTCGCAGATCTTGTCTCTTTAAAACGCACACCCCGTACAATAGAACCGCGCTTATAACTGTAATTGAATCTACGCAAATACATCGGTGTACTTAACGAATATTGCCCCGTGCCTATAAAATCATGCTGTCCGTTGTTCTAAGTGTTCGTGCAATGAGTTTGTTTAATTGGATCGAAAAATGTTGGCGCCGCGTTACGCATTTTACAAATGTTAACTAAAACACGGCACAACGGACAGAGAATAAAAGTAATTGCAGAGTCTATGGCGAATGCACGGTTGCAACGGTATCAAGGAACGAGGAGATATACGAGGGACTCGAATGGGATCCCACCTCGTTAATTGGACTCGGTACGATGATGCTGCCGCGCGAATTGTTCGCCACGAAATTACCTCGATATCTCGTCGTTGTCGTCGTTTTGTACGACGGCGCGGCGTTATCTGGGTCCGCACAAATTTTCTTTCTTCGGGAGTCGTTACAACCAGCAGCCACGGTTAAACTGTTAACGCGACAGACTGCGCGAAACGAACCAACAACTACACTACATCCGACCGTAATTATCGTATACCAGCGCCAGAATCGTCCTGGATCGTAGACGGTAAAGTATCAACGTAGTACCGTCGCCTCGAAAGTAATTTAGAGAAGCAAGATCGAAAGCGTCACGTGTCCCGCGCAAATTATTGATCTTATCGGACCGTAAAATAAATTTCACGCCGATTCATTGGACGATTACATTTAATTGCGTCCAATTAAATAGCCGTTCCAATTAAAATCGACGCGAACACGGAGAACTCATTACGATTTATCGAACCAACGATAACGATCCTACTCGCTTTTCGTGGTCGATGTAGAGTACTGGCAATCGATACAGTTTTAAGGGAATAATTTTGTCGAATATTTTACGGCTCGGCAGAGCGACTCGTACGGTATTAATTATCGTAAACGCTAGACTCCTTAATGAGGTGTTCAATCTCTGTGGATCTCGAGTATTTTAACAATTACAGCAAGAGTTGCTAATTGTTACTGGGTAATTATCAAAGAAACACAAGAGCAAATATTTTGTACAACTCAATACATTTAACTAAGTTTGTTAGTTATCTGCTAGTGGAGCTATTGCTTGTTAAAAAAACTAGTACATTTTTATTAAATTTGAAATTACACAAATACACCTTGCCCGGCTTGTTCCTAAGAAAAATTAGTATATGCTTACGACCGATTGCTCGATTCTCACCACATACTCAGGGATACAACGACAGTTCATTAACTAGTCGGCAGGGATTCACCATTGTCGTATTGACTTTTGTTCCTTAGCAAATATCCGGCCAAAAAGCTAATAGGATCTGCAGGTCTTTCCTTAGCTAAACTAGACAATGCTTGTAGTAGAATTGGCACTACCGTCTGATCCAAGTATTGCCTTGTTGGAAGAGACTGCAATTCAACACGCGATTTCTTTGGTGGTACACCGGACAAGTCGGAATCCTTATTCATTGCTAGTATCCTCTGTAACAAAAGAAAAAAATACAAAAGATTAATCGGGATCCATCCATTCCGTTCATTGATATGTTGTCCATGCTTTTGACAAAATTTGTAGAAACTAGAAAAACACTTTCGGTTCGTACGGCATTAATGAAATACACTAACCTAAATACGAATAATATACTCGTATGACATCAATGAATATAAATTCAGATATTGGTACAACAGCTGTCAATCAGATTGGCGGGAAATGTCGAAATTGTTTCAAACAAACGACTCATTGTTAATTTCGACACGCAGAATTAATCCTACGTCACGAGAACGTAAGATAAATGTTGATTTCTTGCGACGTATCGGTCGCACAAGCAAATCGCAATGGCACATCGGTGTAGGAGATTACGCGAAAATTTATAGGTTATACGACTTACTTGGGCCGGTTCGCTCACGACATTGGTGAGGGGCTGTGCTGGCGTCGTTGGCTCGATTCTTTCCTCCGTCGGGTTTTCTGTTGTTACGGGAGCAACAAATTAATCAGAATCGTTAATGCAACGAGTTCTCATCCGAAACGTATAGCCCAACGTTACCTATTAGACTATAAAAAGCAAAATAAACGGATACGTACCACCGCCCGACGCCATCGTGTAAACAAATGATGCTACCAACTACAACGACTTATCACCGCACGAGTGCTGTTCAAATGTTACCATACGCGCGGAATCTAACGCGCTATCTTTTCAAAAATTCCACAAAACATTTGAATTCGCGCGTTGTTGACACGTTGCTTTCGTAGTATCGTAAATACGACATCAACGAATTCTGAAATTAGTTTAACCACGTTCAAGCGATCACCCTGGGGTTTATTTAACACGTTAACTGGCAGGTCGGTTGTCCATGTTTCAAGATGTCCGTCACAATGATCTAAAGAGTAACGCGAAGCATAGAAGTTATTACACAGTTTTACAAGTATTCGGGATCTTTCATTTTAAATGATGCACATCAAAGCAGTTAACCGAAAGAGTGGAGACACTAAGGCACTGACGTCACAAACAGGCTGTTGCTTTTTTTTTTAGTATTATTTATTTAACGTAAAGTTAGACGCTACGACTTTGGTACAAAAACATAAAACAGTGATACTGAGGAAATGGTGTACTGCGAGCGGATCCTCGAGCCCCTACGAACACGGACAAACACGAGTATCGTTGTATGTACGAGAATACAAACTTACAGCCAATTTAAAGGCGAGCACAGAGCGCAACACAAGTGTACAAATTACGAAAACGACCCGACTCTGTTTGCAACCGAAAAAGAAAACGACACGCGTCCCGGTGAAGGAATATCTCGAAGAACCGCCCTGCTGTTGTACATACGAAACGAACATCCAATATCATCCAATGAATAAAGCATAATATATGTATAATATATAACGCGGACGGCGGCACCGACCGTTTGTTCACAGCATCTTCAAAAAGTAACGTTAAACCTTGCGAAGGAAAACGATTCCAGATCGATCACACAAACCGTAACGACAAACGAGAATATTCCCGGATCGATAAATAGAAGAAAGCTAAGCGACATTCCGCGGACATCACGTTTCAATTTTCATTTTTTTCTTTTATCATCTTATTTAATATCGATTGTTGAACGGACGCGCCTGGGCGTCCGCGCAATCGATCGCACGGTTAATATTCGAATAAGTTAAATATCTTTCGGTTTCTCTTTAATCGCAGTTAAATTCCAAAAGCTTCAAAAGCGAAAAGCTCCGCGAGCGTTTACGTGAGTAAAACGTGATATACATCGTAAAAGGGTGACTTGGATATGGCTACATTTAATGTGGTAGAGCGCGATCGTAACACATACACGAGACACGAGACTTTGCGCAGCCTTTAAAATCACATCGATGAGTAAAAGTGCGTCGGCGAGCCGAGTCGCAGCCAGCGAATACGAGCGGAGGGTAGGAAGTCCTCGATCGCAAAAAATAAGAAAATGTCGTTCACGGTCGAAGTACCACGGCATTACCACCGTCGTCCACGACGGGGCATATCTTCGACCATGACACTCTCGCGACTGGTGTACCACTCGCGCATCGCCTCGGCAAATAAATGCGACACCTAGACATACCTACTTACAACGTATGCATATGAACGTCAATGTATACATATATATATTTATATATTTGTATATATCTAAATAGTGTTGTGATAAAAACGAACTATGAGACAAACGCCGTGACCGTATCCTGGCGTCGAGTCGAGCGCGAGGTTTCCCATCTATCCGAATTATATTTCGCGTTTTATATTTCTTATTAAAACTATGACGATTGTTTCATTTAATTCTTTTCTTTTTTTTGTTCCAACAATTTCCAAGCTCGACGCGTGACCGTTCAACGAAAGAGACACGGCGCAACTCGCGACCATATCCGTCCGACTTAAATTCTACTTACGTTTAAATCGGTTCTTGTTGCTCGAATTGCTTACACGTTATAATATCATCGTCGCATTATCATTAAATTCACATACGTCATTAATTGATCGAGATTAGCTTGCGGGATATATGTGTGTGTACAGCGGACTAAATATTATATAGGACGATTAAAAAATCGACAGCGAGCGTGGTGTGTGCTTGCTTGCTTGCGTTTCTTTTTTCTTTTCTTTTCTTCTTTTTTTTTTCTTTTTTTCTTTTTCACTCGCGGTGTGATCGTGGTATGGTCGGTTAAGATTTCGTTTGATCGTGTTCTCCAATGTGTGTGTGTGTGTGTGTGTGTGTGTGTGTATGTATGTTTAATATAGCGTGCCGCGTTCTTCCAACGGATAGTCGATCGGCGTTTCGCGAGATTTTTCGTTCGACTCGCGCAGCGAAACAGGTTTCCAGCAGACGCCACCACGGCATCGATGCGACCCTCGTGTGTTGTCATTGCTATTGCTACGGTGACGACGACAAACTACGACGACTACGACGACGCACTCTCCGCGACACGATCGCAACAAACCGCGTTCCAAGACTTTGCTCTCCGCGACGTCGAGACTCAAGACCCGTCGATCACCGAAAATGGGGGGACACAACCTTCGTTACGAAATTATAAATCGTATGTATATATATATATATATATATGTATATATGTATAATATCATTATATATGTATGTATGTATAATATTATATGCCTGCGGGGAGCGGCAGTGTGGCACAACCATGACTTAAAAAAGCGAATAACTAATGTATTACCTCGTGTTTACTTCCCGTGACTCGTGGTGCTTGGAAGCGACAATCGTAACCTAGGACAACTCGCGAAAGACCCCCGTGTAAAATTCACCGTCGCCGAGAGCACGCGTCGCGTGCCGGATTCTCTGTGTCGCGTTATCAATCGTTCGCGAACATGCCGGGTGTGTTCGCCACCACAACGCCAACGACAGATCGATCGATTTGATATCGTACGTCTCTCGTTTGCGAAACGACGACGGTATACGTTGGCCTCCGACGATCAAAAACGCCCGCCCTTCGTCCAAGTACGGCAGTCAATTAATTTGGCAGTTTCGTAACCTGGCCTTGTCGACGGATGGAACAAACAACGAATGAGCGATGAAACGATTATCGAGAAAAATGCGAGATCGAAATAGAGAAAGGCCAAAAAGTGTGTAAAACGATATGGTCGCGGACGAGGAAGCGAACGATCGATTCGTAGGGGGAGGGCAACGATCGTCGTCGAACGCAACGCTGATTCTACGTGTAAATTGTTCGACGAGCGTACACCTTATGTAAATGGACCGAATCTAATCTACTCGCGACGATGGTAATTTTTTATCGTAAATCGTTGCAAATTGGACCGACGACAGCACCGGGGGGAGAGATAGCGTGCGCACTCTTTCCGCTTCTCTCGAATGTTGGGCCGCCGGCGACGAGAGAGACGGAAGACCACGGAAGATGATTTACAGGTTACACTGCCACAGTATCGTAGGGTGTGAGGAGTCCCCCGTGACCGCCGTGGCCGGCGCCGGTTTGCCGGCTGGGGGCTTCGTTTCTGCAACAGGGATGTTCTATTTTTAATCGTCTTCGAGATAGCTACCCTAACCGCGTGGTACCTGTTACCTCAACGGCATTCTAATCACTATCCACGTGCAGACGGTTTCTTACGTTCGTCGAACGAACGTAACTGGTATGCATCTAAAGGACAGCAACTAAATTAATCTGCACGTGGTACAGCGGCGCATGCATTAGCTGCAATCGCGAGTAAAATTATATACGGAGACGAGTCGTTGCATTAATAAATACGAGAATTAAATAAACGTATTTGTAGCGGTGGTTAAATGGTTAGTAGCACCAGCAGCATGGACAGCAGGATCTGTAGCAACGACAGGAGCGACAGCTGTAGCGGAAACAAACTCGGTACCGATCGAGTCGAGTACGCCTTTCGCGTCAATCTATTGAAAAAATTAGTATATTCTACGAACATCACACATGGCACGTTTCACCGCAATTTGCATGCAAACACACGTTGGTTTAGTAAAGCGCTTTCGACCCAGGTAGAGATCTCGTTGATACGGAAGCAACACGCCGTCGAAGCATCGACTGACCTATTCTTGTGGCCACAAATACTAACTAAAAAAAACAGATGTAACGCAACTTCTAAAGCTTTTCATGATCATCTCTAACTCGACTGTCGGTCACGAGAGTGCACCCTGCATTGTAAATATTGATTATTGTCTAACGGACTTACGGCTTCCTGCGTAAATAGTCATGAAACAAGAAAAAAGTCAGAGATACGTTAGACAGATTGTCGGAAGGTTGTTCAGAGTTCTTAGCGGAACCACCGTGCACTCGATCACCACTATATCAATTTGAAACGTACCCACGAATTTTCTATTGAATCGAATTGAAATTCGACAATGCCAATGACACGGACAGACAACGTTTCCGTAAAGAGCAGGTCTCTGGCAAAGAATACGGAGAGTCGAGAACAACGATTGTCAAATAGTAAGTCGAAGCGACTAAATGGAGAAACGGGCCAATTTACTTTCGAGATAGTCAATGACGGTTCTCGAGGCAAGAAATCGCTCGAGACACAGCGGCAGGAACGGCGAAACGTATAATATCGTTCACCGTTAACCAAACTCACTCGATCTCTACTGACCTCTCTATGAGTTTACGCATCTCCTCGGTGGTCATGCCGTCCTTGCCGCGAGCATTCACTGAAATAGAAAAACACACGGCACGATTGACACAACGGTAAACTACTACGACGACACGTAGCATGCAAAATCGTGGAAGCTAACGATTAGATACACAGACTCCGGAGCGAGTCTCGTTCATTCTTGTACGATGTGACTCGCTCGGCATGCCTATTCGCCTACTGCGCTAGAGCGAGCAACGGGAGGAGACCGTGAGCGAGTTAAGCTCGGCGAAACGATACTGATCGAGACAAATCGGAATCGAAGACAACGGTATACAGCCTTCCGATCCTGATCGTCCTGCGCCTAGACTCGCTTTGTGAATCGGTCCTCTCGTCCCCCACTCGATCACGGTTCTTTGTACTGACCGCCGTAGTTGCGGTTCACGAGTTGATCGCGATCACATTCCGCCTCGCTGATCTCGTTGCTCTCCTTGCTGTCGTTGAAGCTGGAATTGTTCTGATCGTGGTTTCTTGGCGGGGGTGGTGGCGGTTCCGGCGATCCAGAGACGGGAATGTTGCGGGCTGATCCTACGCTACGACGACCGACCGAGCCGCGGGATCCATAGTGATCGTACGGGGCACCGTATTGTCCGTATTGCGAGCCGTATTGATCTTCTTCCGGTGCACAGTTTGCTGGGTCGTCGTATTCGGGGGAGAAAACGTTGTGGGTTCCGCTGCCGCCTCCTTGGGATGGTACTCGCGAGTAGCGACCGTTTTGACGTGGCTAGGGACAGAGAAACATCCTCGATCATCACTCGAGTTCCCCCTAAACGATGTAAAGAGACAGTAAAGAAACGTGATGGATACCATAGATTGAGATCCAGAGCGGCTGTGAGCAGAGGCGTTGGTAGGATGGCCGACGGGTGGTCCCATGGTGCCAGAATGTCCATTACCAGGGTGGGGGAAGGTCTGGAATTGCATAGCCTTGGTGGGGTCCATTTCCTCGCGGAATCCAAGAAGGTGGAAGGTGGCGTACGGGCAAATTTCATCCTCCATGCCTGAAAGAAACGATTACTCAGGGTAGACACTGCCGTTGTGGGCCGAATCGAACTAATCTATCGTACAAGATTATCTCATAAAATTTTCCTTTCTCGGGCGAACGCCTCCGAAACACGGGACAATCTTTCTCAGATGTTGGTCGCATGCAACCACGAGTTAACTGTTACAATTATCGAGTACCTACGTATTACATTCCTATGCGTTCCTCTGCTTTTGTTCTTGCTCAGAGAGAAACGTCCGTGAGAAACAAACGCCGTGCACGTTAGTCTTACGTTTACGAGAGCGCAGGCCCACTACCGTCCGCTCGTGCACGATGGAAAGAGACTTCTGTTTCGGTCGATTTCCGTTCCGCGGGAAACGTTGCTCGACGAGATGCGAGCGGACGCTAGCGGTCCTGCCTCGTCGAGAGAAATGGAACGAATCGAAAAAGAGGTGTTGTCAACGAGTGCGACGTGTTCATCTGTTTGCGAAATAAACGGGTACCAGCGCAAGCATGCAAGAACGTGCAGCATTCAGAGGGGTCACAGGTCCGTGAACCGTGGAACGAAGAGAGGACTTACGAAGACCGACTGCAACCAGCCAGCAGCTGCGCGATTTAGTATTCGATTCGATGACACGAAGGAAGAACGAGAGCTTCGTTCGGGTCTTTAACTACTGTTACCAACCTCTGTGGGATAGAGCTTCGGCACTGCCCATACGTGGCGGGGGTGGGCATCTTCGGTTCGGTGCGCAATGATTCAATTCCTCGTACATATGTCGTCTCGGATCCCACGTCGAGTGACTCCTTATCGAGCCTGTTCCACCTATCGAACATATACTACAAAGGTCGTACGACTGGCTGACGCTTACCGGGATTCGTGTTTGGCTCGCTGCCATTTCGGGTGATTGTTTCTTTGACTAGGATACTTGGGGTCACCGGTGAACGGTAATCGCACGTACTGGAGACTTGGTACGCGCAGCGTTGTCATAAGCGCAAACGAGGGAGAAGAGTATTCGTTTCCGTTGAACATACATCTCGATACGTATAGAAAGAACATTTTTAAGCGAGGCAGACAATGAAACAGAACTGGCAATGTCTATGATGAACGCGTGTATAAATGGTGTCTGGGTGTGTTCAGCGGATAGAAGAGACACGACGGAACTCGAGATTCGCATGTACGTCTATCTTTTCTATCCGCGAGTCGTGTATGACTGAGTGACGTATCGGTTACGAAACTGTCTGGCAGTGGTGAGAGTCTAATATGTTTTCTGTGCGATCCGATCGTGTCACGTAAAAATAAAAACGGTAACGCTATCGTGCCGATGCGACAACATCTAAACAATTAATTGGAATTTAGCTAAAAGTCATATTGTAGGCAGTTGTGGCTTACTTATCACTGTACCTCGCTTGATGCGATCGCAGGTGTTATAGTTGGATCCGGGTACGGGTGGTAACTTGCGGTTCGGTGGTGCGATGTAGCCAAGCTCGTCGCGAAGATCGGGTCTGCGTTTGTCGAGGGTAGCACCGCCTACTCCGGTTTGTTGGTATACCACGTCGTCTAAAAGATAAACAACTCGAATGAACGCGAACCTGCGGGTCGTCGACATTAAGTACTCGATACTTGATTGCATTGTTGGTCCACCGACACCTACGACTGGAAAACGCGCGAGTAGAGGATTTTCCGAATGTAGGGCGGCGAACGCGTGGATCGATCGTCGGAAGGGTGCAATTTCTCGACGCGACGCGGACCGTTTTATCGGTTTATTACGAAACGCGAACATCGTTCGACACCATCGAGAGAAATCGTCCTTACGACGAGCGTCCAATTGTTGTGTGACTTAGCAAGTTAAAATAATAAAAAAAAATTGGTATACATTGTCCCTCGTAATATTTCTCGTCGGCTGATGAGATACCTCGCAGCCGTGTTTGTTCCGGGCCTCGAGTTCTCCTCGACAGCGCGACGCAAATCACCACTATGCCTACAATAATTACAACGACCGTAGCTCCGACCGGCACCACCACGTTTACGTCAAGCCAGCTGGGCAACCACGGGAAATAACGCCTGACGTCTGTATTGTCGTTACCTCCGTTTCGTACGGGCGGTGCGATCGTACCTGTTCGTTAAAAAAACAACAACAGATTCGCTCAGATTACCTTTATCGCTACCATGGCCCTTTCCTCTGAGAACGCAGATCACGATGACGGCAACGATTATAACGAGAATGGCTGCTACCACTGGCACGACCAGATTTAAGTTCGCCATGAAAATTTTCATCGGATCCTCGTCGTTGCCACCACCGTTTACGTCGGGTAGCTCGCGGGCCGGTGCAATGGTGCCTGGAACAAAAAATATGGCGACCATCGAATCCAGCCACCATTAGCACCGGCTACGAGTGCCGTTGCCTTTACGCGCGATCCTCGACGATACTCACCTCCAGTTACGGTCAGTGTAGCGAATTCGTACTCGGCCACGGCAAAGCCAGCGTTGTTGTGAGCGGTGACGCGCAAGTGATACCAGCTAGCCGGGTCCAGATCCAAAACGACAAAGTTTCCGCCGGGTTTCACGTTGTTCGAGACCTGATTCCATTCCTGTTGGTGCCTGAATCGTACGAAACGAGCGCAGGTTAAATTCCCGTCCGTCTCGAAACGCCTCGGTTCTCTCTTACTTTTTCTTGTGCTCGACGACGAAGTACAACATGGGGCAGCCACCGTCGGACCAGGCGCTCAGGTGAAGGGTGATGCTGTTCGTGGATACCTCGATGAATCTAGCCGCCTCCGGGATGATCGGTTTCGAGCCTTTGGTGCGCGTGTTCAACATGTCGGACGGGTCGCCGGTTCCAATTCTAAAGAGTACAATCAACGATCACCAACTTCGTCCAACCGCGGGGACGCGCGAAGACGATTACCCGTTGTATGCAGTGACGTAGATCTGGTATCGCGAGCCACACCACAGATTCTCCAATGTGTATTTCTGAGCGGTCGAGCTGATTTGAGCGGTTTCCCAGTCGCCGAATTCGGGTTTGTAGTGAATGGTGTATCCGTGGATCGGAGCGTTGTCGGTGGGATGAGGTCGGAGTTTCATCGTCAACGAGTTGGTGGTCGTGGCGGTGAGCGTGACTTGCGGGGAGTGAGGTGGAGCTGCAAAGCAACGTCGAATATTGACCATCGAGTTCTCCAAGAACGGAAGTCGCAGGTATCGCGAAGCTCACCGTGGACGATCAGCTGATGAGTGACGGTGTCGTGGCCAAAAGAGTTTTCAACGTAGCAAGAGTATTCTCCAGCATCGGTACGGTCGACTTCCTTGATGAACAGGGATCCCTCGGGCAGCTGACGCAGTCTGTCGCTCGATTGGAGAACGGCTCCTCGTACTTTCCATGTCACTTCCGGCGCGGGCACTCCGACAGCGAGACAGGGCAGTTTGACGTCTTCTTTGTAGGTAGCCGTGAATTTGTCGTCGAAGGATGCGATCTTTGCGGGTACTGGGAACATCGTGAGTGAGTTACAGTTCGGTGAACGAACATGGAAAAAGCCATTGTGGAATCGCGAGTACCTCGAACACTCGGTGCCAATGCCACGATCTTGGAAGCCTCGCCCTCGCCGATGTTTGTGCTGGCGGTCACCCAGAAATCGTATCTACGTTGCTTGTCCAGTCCAGACGCCTCGTGTGTCAGTTGGTTCGGTGGTACTTTCTGGCTAGTAGGTTCCTCCATGTTGTCTGCCTTTGTGTAAACGGTATACTGAGCGATCACTCCGTTGGGCTGGCTGGGTGGGCGCCACGAGACGAGGATGGATTCGGCGGACATAACCAGAGCTTTGATCGCGATCGGTGCTTCGGGAGCTGCGGGGAAAAAATCATGAGTCGCAACTTGTTAGATCACTGCATGCTTCTAGTTTCTTTTCCTTACCGTCTTGTTCGGTTTGGCAGTGGATAGGTGCAGATTTTACGCCGTCGCCGCCAGAGGTGAATGCCAAGACTTGCATGCTGTAGTTTGTATACTTCTTAAGTCCGTGCAGAATCGTTTCGCTGGAGGAGGTGATCTTGGTGTCCTTCGTGTTCTCGTCGTACCAGCTGTCGGACGGTCCGTAAATAACCTGCGAGGAATTTATTTGTTTGTTTGGAAAGTATTCCTTTGGTATGAAAATATACTAAGATGTTTACTAACTTTGTATCCAGTGATTACTCCGTTAGCAGCGCTGAGGGGCGGTGACATCCATGATACTCTGATAGTCTGAGACGTGAGGGTGGTGCAGGTGGTGTCGTGGGGAGGTTGTTCGGGTACTCCTTCGGCGGTGTGCTGTCTACGTTCCTCGCTCATCGGTCCGGATCCAACTTTGTTGAAGGCTTGAACGACCACGCTGTACTGGGTGTAAGTCTTAAGATTCATGATCTGCAAGTGATGTTCCTTTCCATCCTCTTTCGAGAAGTCAACGGTTTCGAACATGTAGGGTTTCTCGGAGGAAGATAGTCTGTAGCCAACGTAGTATCCCAGAATCTCGCCGTTCCAGTCCTCGCGCGGGGGTGGTTTCCATGTTACCTGCAGAAATTCGATACACGATTTTGTTTTTTCAATAATCAGAATTACTTCTAAATTGCATTAAACGACTGATCACCTTAAGAGTGTGCTGGTCAAGGGCATCGACGCGAACAGAGGTTGGTGGGCCACCGGGTGCTTCCTCGGCAGTGATGATCGTGACGGTGTCAGAAGGATCGGATGCGCCAATTTCGTTCTCAGCAACGATTCTCAGGTGATAGGTGGTCGCAGGTCTCAGATTGAAAACGCCAGCTACGTTCTGTTGGGATCCAGGTACGAGTACTCTGTCGATGTCGATGTCCCAGGAACCTTTGCTGATTTTGTATTCGATCACATAGCGTTTCATGGGGCTGTTGCCGTCGTAGGGTGCTGCCCAGGACAGTTGAACCGATCGTCCGGATTTGTCGAGAACTTTAAGGCCGTACGGAACTTCGGGTACCTCTGTAATAAAATTTAATCGATTGGTATCTCGACACGAGTATCGGAATCGTTCTAGACATACCTTGAACGATCATGTTGATGCTGGTATCGTCGCTTCCAAAAGCGTTGGTGGCAACGCAGGTGAACAGGGCGGAGTCGCTACGTTCGGTTCTCTTGATGCTCAGGTCAGACAATACACCGTTGGCCAAAATTTCCTCTCGAATCGTGTAACGGGAATCGCTCTTCGGGTCCAGTCTCTTGTTGTTCATGTTCCACAAAATGCCGATCGGTTTCTCGCCTTGAGCCTCGCATTGCAGTACAGCCGGTTCCCCGCGTCTTGCAGTTTGGTTCTTCAGTTTGATCTCGAAGTGGGGTGGAGCTTAAATCGAAAGGGTTCGCGTTAACTTCGATAACGAACGAAAGGGAGGGAATCGAGGCAGCAGCTTACCCTGAACGGAGATGAGAATCACAGCAGAGAGTCCGGAGCCAATTCCGTTTACAGCCTCGCAAAGATAGTAGCCCTCGTTCGTCTTCTGGATGTTGTTGATCGACAGGGTTCCATCCTCCACGCTAATGTCCGGGTTGCTCAGTTTCAAGTCGGTGTAATCGCCCGGCGTATCCCCTGAAATATCGAAGTAGAGAAAGAGATATCGTGGAAGCACGAGTAGCGACGGAATCGACGGAAAAATAGTTACCAGCTGCTCTCTTCCAGGTGACTTGAGGCTTGGGGAAACCGTCGGCTTTGCATTCAACGCGAGCATCGGAGCCTTGAGCGAATGCCTTATCGGTGGGTTCCAGAATCCAACGGGGTGGTACTGTTACAGAACGAACGTGTTAATCAAGGTGTTCTCTCGGCGCATCCACCAATCGGCAGTTCATCCGGGAGTGAGTCGCATCGTGGGCTCGAGTCTCCCATAGTTCCTACAAAACTTGGGAACCATCGTTGGTAGTCCATCTTTGACAGATCTTTTAGAGAGAGGCCCGGAGACTGGAGCCACGACAAGTAAGTTCCGTCGCATGCTGAACGAAACGCGACTCGCTTCCGCAACTGCGACAACATTGCGACAGTTCGACATGCGGGAATTCGAGATAATTATGCGGGTGACTACGGCACGAAGAAAAAAAAATAAGAAGGTCAACCAGGCAGATAGAGAGACACTGCGGTCGCGGCTCTGAAGGAGCTCGGCGCCGCGCATGCAAGAAACACTATAGTACCCACGATACTCGAGCACGGTCCATCATGCTGCACCGCTTGAAAAGTGATTTACGGTTAATGTCTAATGAGAGACGCATGCGTGTTAGTACTATCGACTATCGCTACTAATGCACGTACACAAAATGAACGAGGCGAGACGTGTGGTGAGAGGCGGGTGGGCGAGGCGAAGGTGAGAACAGGTATCATATTTGTGGTGAATTAGGCACAGGTCGAGAGGGTGATTCTCAGGTTTAGATCGGATGGTCGGTCGGTCATCTTGGAACAAGGACACGTTGTAGCGCGACGGGGGTACGGTGAGGTATACAAAAAATCGACACTCGAACAGTGATCACGAGAGACGCAGCTCGATCGTAAAGACCTAGAGAGGACGTCGCTGAGAGATCGCGACGATCCATCGGCTAAAGTTCGTGACGGGTATATGTGAGACGCGATGAGAGTCGCGCAACGAGCAAAGAAAAATATGGGTGTGTAGCCTATCCATGTGCCTGGATCTGTTGTCGCGGCCAAATGAACCTAAAAGCCAACGAAAAGTGTCGTCGAAGAAATTTAGCGACGATGAGCATGACAACGAGACAGGGAAATCAAACGAGGCGAAATGCTTAGCCACAAATACGATGCGGGTAAAGCTCAACCAACTTACTGGGGGAACGGGAACACACGTGGGACTCTGGGCGTAACTTTGCGTTTGCTACTCGGCTGAAAAAACATAGGCGGTACCAGAAAGGGTGAATAGAAACGCGGTACAAACGAAAAATCATAAAATAGACAGAGACAAGTATATACAAAAAAATTACCATAGTAAAAAATATATATATATATATGTTAAGAGAGAAATATATATATATATATATATATATATATATGTATATTTGTATATGTATAAACAAGGAACGGCGCGCAAGAGGGTCGTCCACGGCGACGAAAGCAACGCACTGCGTTATGTCAAACTCTTCCGCTGAGAAATGAAATCCAGAAAGCTTCGCCAAGGTAACACGACAGCTTCGGCAACGACGGAGATGCATCAATCAAGCCTGCAATCAAATACTCTCACGGGACCGGCGCGGTTGCTTTCATTCCGAATTATTCAATCATCGTTCAATTATCAGTAATCATTCAATGCTCCCATTACACTGGCCCTAACCGTGAACTCGTAATGTCGCCTCTTGCACCGTCTTGCCCGACGGATTGCTAGCGATACAAGTGTAACGTCCAGCGTGCTCCGGCGTTACCGGCTCGATCAGCATGATACTCGTCCGTGGGCCGAGTTTCCCGATGCTGTACCCCATGAATTGCGACAGAGGCTGGTCCTCGTGGGTCCAGGTAATATTGATGGGAGTGTCACCGACCAGCACCATGCACGCCAATTGGGCGGCCTGCCCCGCATAGATCGGTTGATCCCCAAAATCGAACGGACTGATCCGTGGTAAGACTGGAATGATAGGCGCTAGGCTAGATCCACGGTGTACCCATCACGGTCCTGCGATTCCGTTCTCCGATTTCATCACGGTAGACTGAACCGTCTCGTGGTCATATTCATCGTCGACTTTCATCGGTTCGTTGGTTCCCTACGATCCGCGAGAGACTCTCTCACGACTCTTGTCTTTCGCCTGATCTCTCGGTAGTCTTCTCCCCTCTGGCACGAAACCTACTTTGACCGTTCCCGTTGTCGTCGACAGGCGTATCGAAATTATGGCTGCACGCGCGCTCACGACAGCGAAACGATTCGTCTTTCTCTCTGCGAGAACCTTCGTTCGTCGATGAGATATCCCGAACAGGATCACAGAAAGGATTCCAATAGAAAAGACGGTGAAAGATAGTACGCGTGTGTAGGGAAGACGGGGGCGAAAATTAACTCTTCCCTTACTAAAGTCCTAGTTCATCGGTCCCAGATTTGTTCTTTGTAACAGTATATATAAAAGAAAATTATAAAATAGTTATTTAAAAAAAAATGATAATGTTGACCCCCGTCTGCCGTAAATGCGTGTGCACTATGTGTACGTGTCCCGCGTAAAAATGAGAGAAGAAGAGAAACAGAATTGGACCGAAGGTGAGAGTGATGGGAAACTCATCTCGTCCCCAGCTAAGGATAAATTACCTTTGACGATTGGTAGCCGAAGGATAACGAGAATGGGACTGTGATCCAAAAGCTACACTCGGCCGAGCGACCTACCTAAACGACGATACTTCGAAACAAACGATGATGCGGGAGGATAATTATATTACGTAAGAAAGAAAGATGGACAGTCGAGCGGATGCAGACTTCCAAACATATTTATATATATATATTTATACGTATGTATATATGCTATTACAACAATCAACAGCAGACAGTAGAGACGTTGCTCGTTCTTTCAAAATATACGACTACTACTCGTACTACGACCGCACATGAGCGTATCCAATAAAATAAATAACAATCGTCATGTTGCCGATCTCAACGTAACGTAACACGCACAACAACGTATGTATTTGGCATTTAATTTGCTGTTTGGCTACGCGTACTCCTCGGACAACATCATCATGCCGGTTTCGTTTTCATGTAATATGTCGCGTTCGCCTTGTATTCGGTGTATGATGCCGTATGATTCTGTGTGAGTGATCACGTTTCTGTACCGTTCACTTTGAGATGGGCGCTGTGCCTAGCACGACCGGCTGGATTATCGGCGACGCATGCATACTCTCCGGCGTGTTCTCCCCTGACGGCGGGGATCGTCAGTGCGGACACTCTATCCCCCAACGCGGTGATACCCACTCCGTCGCCTACTTCTAAATGGCGTCCCTCGAACAACCACTTGAGCGAAATCGGCGTGTCCCCCTTTACGACCGCGCAATGGACGATTATCAGATCGCCGGAGTTGGCCTCGTCGAACGAGAACGGCTGCAGATGCGGAGAGACTGCCGAGAGACAGAGACAGAGAGAGAGACTCTAGAGTCAGGCACAGATATAACAGAAGGAACGGGGAGAAAACAGACATATCGTTTAGCAGGGTTTCGTTTAACGCGGCTGGCAAAGCTCGAGAATCGAGCTTCGGACGAAACGGCGAGTCGGTCGAGTCCGGACGCGCTGCACCTCGAGACCAGCCACCAACCTGGTGGAAACGTCACGAGTAAAAATGATTATACCGCGAGTCGGGGATGCTGGGAGCATTAAAGAAACGAGACCCGTCCACGAATAAATCGAGCCCCGTCGAGGGTGGCGATCGAACCGATCGAACATCGGAATGAATCGAACCGAGGGAAGCAGAATATAAAAAAGGGGAAACGTTGAATAATAATCAAGCAAGGCTTGGCTACGGGTTGGAATGGAATCGCGAAGGATGGCAAACTTAAAGGAGGATGGCAAACTTAAACAATACATGTCACGTTTGGGTTTTAAACCGCTGTGGATCTGTTTAAGCACCGTTGACAACCAGATCGGCCGAAAGCTCGTGCCTTCCGGCACGGTTTTCCGCGATACACGTGTACGTTCCAGCGTGCGTCGCCTGGACGGATCCTATGCTGAGTATGGCGCCCCGTCCGCCGAGATCCACGATCGAGATTCCAGAGTGCGGCGAAATCGTATGACCGTTTAAGGTCCAGCGGAGCTTCAAGGGTGGATCGCCCTCGAGCACGGCGCACGGTACCGTTACTACCTGATCGGAGTTAAGCGGTTTCTCGCCGAACGAGAACGGCACTAATGTCGGAATGACTGAAACGAGAAAAGAGAAGAAACTGAAAAGGAAAAAGATCTGCGTCGGTCGCGTCTGCAACCACGGTCACGCGACCCCGCAGCACGCAGCAGTCCGACCAGAGAAACACGGTTAGAATCGACCCGGAGGGACCGCTCGCTTTGTTCGAATTTTCTAGCTTCCTTGCACCGTCTACTTCGCACTGCAACCGGGGGACAAAACAAGAAAAGAAAGTTCAAACGAAACTGAGAACGCTACGAGAACCGAAAGCTGGGATAAACGAAAGAAAAACGTCGAGCGGGGTCTGCCCGGTGCACGGTTGGACAGAATCCTCCCCGAAAGCAGGCCAAATGCGTTCTCTCGGGCTCCAAAATCTCAAGTTTGCAAATAGAGGATTCCGTTATTTGGTATGCACAGCTGCTGACGCGCTTAACGACGTCACAGCGGTTATTTATAACACCTGCGATGCATTTAAATATGGAATCTAATTTCTATGAAACCAGCAATCTGACGACTCTCGTTGTCTAAGAAACGAAACTTGGTGGACTGGGAAAAACGAGTTAATATAACCTTTAATATATTTACTCGACACTTTCTATCTTTGGCTAGCTGTTGGGGACTCTGTCCTGGCTGTGCAGCGAGAGGAGCGGAAGGAATCGAAGGAATCAGTAGATGGGAATGCAGTCAGGAGGATGATGGTGTCCAAGCATCGTCGAGGAGCGTGTACCGTTGACGTCCAGTTTGGCCGAGTGCGAGGTCGATCCAGCGGCATTCGAGGCAACGCAGGTGTACTCCCCGGCGTGTCTAGCAGCCACGGACTCAATGGTCAGTTGCTTGACGCGTTTCCCGGAGCTGGACACGATCACGTTCGTTCGATCGGATCTTATCGGCTGGCTATCGAAGGTCCAGCTGATCTCCAGAGGGGAGTCGCCTTTGGTCACGACGCACTGTACAGAGACAGTGTCTCCGGCGTTCACGGGCTCGTCGCCGAAGGAGATAGGCACGATCTGCGGAGATACTATGAGACGAACAACCACATAGAGACGTTTCGTTGAAAGAAGACGAGAAAACGTACTGGTGCTCGATGATGACCGATACGACCGGAGAACCAACGAAGTCGCGGGGGAGTTTAGGGAACGACTTATCGGGGAAGATTCGACGGGAGATTTGTGCGAGATGCCTTAATGGTATTATTGCGTAGTACCGTTCACCGATAACACTGCGGAACGGCTGACGGATCCCACCAAGTTGCTCGCAACGCACGTGTATTCTCCGGCATGACGCGCGGTGACGGAATCGATGATCAGGACCGAGTTCTTTTTCCCAGTTTTCGTGATAATTATGTCCTGATGAGTGGAGCGCGTGATCGGTTCTCCATTTAAACTCCACTGTATTTCGATCGGTGAGTCGCCCTTCATGATGCTACACATCGCGGAGACCTGTTCGCCCCAATTCGCCGGTTCCTCGCCAATAGTGAACGGCATTATCTGCGGAGCGACTGGAAACAACACCCGAGAGCTATTCAATACTTTCCGATTCACGGTTGTATCCGGCGTCGGTCAGCCTGTAAGTCCGTGTTGAGTAAAACGTACGAGGAGGGGAACGATACGAGGAGAAAGGAAAAGACATAAGTTCCTGTGTTAATTAAACGGAAAGGAGATAGCCTGTGCCAATGAGAGGTAATGATAGCAGTTTCGTTCGAGTATTATCTGGGAACGCGGTTCGTGCATGTCTGTACCGTTGACGGCCAAGATGGACGAATAGCTCGTCGCTCCAGCTGCGTTCGAGGCTGTGCACGTGTACTCCCCGGCATGCCTGGCGCTCACGGCCTCGATGGTCATCAGACTGACTCGTTTCCCGGTGCTCGATATCGATATATCGCCGTGATTGGTGGTGCTGATCGGCTCGCCGTTCAGAGCCCACGACACCTCGATCGGCAGGTCGCCCTTTACGACCGTGCAGACCGCCGAAACTGCCTCGCCCCAATTCGCGGGCTCGTCGCCGATCGAGAACGGCGCGATTTGCGGCGCGACTGAAAACGTCCACGGAAAATCGATGAGCTGACGACCAACCTCGTTAACCTAATTACCGACCACAAGAACGGATACGACGTATCCCGGCCACGGAGGAACCAACCGATCCAATCAGAGTCCAGGCGCGTCCCCGTTGTTGACTCGCGATCGGAGGCGCGCCAGGTGAGCGTTACACGCGTCCCCCGGGTGTCGACGCGACAGAACGGGACAGGTATGAATATTGAATAGCGGTGGATGGTGTAAGAGAGGAAATGAAAGAAAACAGAAAAGAAAAAGGTGGGGCTTTTCCTCGAGTTTCCCGGAGACGGGTACGCGAAAACCCAACAGACGAGCGTCTACACACATGCGTGCGTATTACCGTTCACGGCTAACGCCGCCGCGTGGCTCGAGGCTCCAGCTTTGTTCGAGGCTGTGCAAGTGTACTCTCCCGCGTGTCTGGCGGCCACCGCATCGATCGCCAACACGCTCAGCCGCTTGCTCTTCGTGATAGAGTACTGATCCGTGCTCGCGGCGTCGATCGGCACGCCGTTGAACGCCCACGATATGTCCATCGGGAAGTCTCCCTTCAGGATCGAGCAGGTCGCCGAGATTGCCTCGCCCGAGTTCACCGGCTCGTCGCCGAACGTGAACGGGAAGATTTGCGGCGCAACTGTGAGAAAACGACCGCAGTCCGGCTAATATCGCGTGGTTTCAAGAAACGGGACACGACGACGTTCGAACCTTCGGTACACCTTTCTCGGATTCTCGTCCTTTCGCGTAGGGGAAAGAGTGGCGTTTCGAGGAAAAGGAATCTCAATGGTACAAAGGCATAGAATTCGTCGAGCGATACGAGGAATGGCAAATGTTAGGTGTGCATTTCTTTTTAGTTTTCATTTTTTTTTTTCAACTCTTTTTTTTTTTTAAGGCGATGCTTGTGCAGAATTCGTTTGACGTGCAAGCGTGCTTCTTGAGGTATAGGTACCGTTGACGGCCAGAGTCGTCGAGTGGCTGACGTTTCCAGCTCTGTTCGTCGCGACGCAAGTATACTCGCCCGCGTGTCTCGCTGCCACGGACTCGATGCTCAATGCGCTCATACGCATATTGATGCTCGTGATCGTTACGTCCTGATCGTTGATATCTATCGTTCTACCGTTAAACTTCCACACGATCACTACCGGAAAGTCGCCTTTCATTATGGAACAGGTCGCCGAGACCATGTCGCCCGAGTTAGCCGGTCCGTCACTGATCGAGAATGGCCCTATGTGCGGCACAACTACAAGGACATCGAAACTACGTTTAACATTCATGGAGCCACGATCGTGCTAATTAATTGGTGCGTTTATATTGCTCGCTGCGACCACGAGACCGTGCGAACGTCGTTCATCGATAGTCGCTGCTGACGGCTACCCCTAACGAGAATAATTACAGTCCGCGTCGAAACCTCGAGAATTCAGATGGCGCCCTTAATTTAGAACTATCGTTTTGTAATCTTTCTTTTAACGTTTAATAAAGTTCTTTGCCTTTGGTCGTACCGATCGTTTACTCGGTTTCGACGCTTGCTGCACATATTTGGTGACACGGTGAGTGCGAATCAATGGCGTTACGTCGATAAAGCTGACGGTGTGTCGACGTTTCCGAGCACCGGAAGTACGGAAAAGTTGCAACGAACGAAACGAACGCGACGACCTTTCTCCTATTCGACGGTGTAGGGGATCGGAGGAAGGTGTAGGTACGATATGCTGCTGGCATGCATGGCAGATAAAGAAAAGTATAGAAGGCTCTAAGGGAACGAGAATACAGGAAGGTGTTGTACCATTCACGGCGAGAGATGCGGAATAACTCGTTCCACCGGCTGCGTTGCTGACGGAGCACGTGTACTCCCCGGCGTGTCTCCCTGCCACGCCGTCGATCGTCAGAAGGCTGACGCGTTTGCTGGTATTTATGATCGATATGTCGTAATGATTGCGAGAAATCGGTTCCCCGTTGAGGGCCCACTCGATTTGGATCGGATAATCGCCCTTTAATACCGTGCACGTCGCTGTGACGGTGTCCCCCCAATTTGCTGGCCCCTCTCCGATATCGAACGGTACGATTTCCGGTGCAACTGCGGTCAGCACAACAGCAGAGATTGTTTGACTCCCGACTGGGAACGGAATCGGGGACCATCGTTTCGCGGGTGGTCGCGAACCTTAGACGAATTTACCTGGGAGTGCCCAACGAGAACTACGACACACCTGATCGAAGATCACGACGTTATCTCGACGAAACGAAAGGATCGGAGGGAGGATCGTCGTTGGACGGTGGTGATCGCGAACGGGATATGTCGGAAAGCTGTCTAATCGAGTGTCGCACATGCATCGAGAAAAATAAAGCAAAAACCGAGGGGCTGGAGTAAGGAACACGTATTGTACCATTGATGGCCAATGTCGCGGTGAAACTCGTTCCACCAGCGGCGTTGCTGGCCACGCACGTATATTCCCCGGCGTGACTCGCCGTCACGGCGTCTATCGTCAGCAAACTGACGCGCCTGCTGGTCGCGATCGATATATCGGGATAATCGTGGGAGATCGGTTCGCCGTTGAGAGCCCATTCGATCTGAATCGGAGAATCACCCTTCAACATGGTGCAGGTTGCTGTGACCGTGTCTCCCCAGTTTGCTGGTTTCTCGCTGATCACGAACGGAGCTATCTCGGGGGCAACTAGGACGAACAAAGAATCCGTGATTGTCTACGAGCGACCAGGACCGATATAGCCGACGAAAATTTTCGACCGAACTCCGGGATCCCTAACCACCGACTAGAGCCAACGGGGAGACAATGACCAGAGACAAAGGATGCGAACAGGAAAATGTCCAAGGACGCCTCTTGTGAGCTAAAGTACCGTTCACGGCCAGGGTAGCCGAGTGACTGGTCGCTCCGGCCTTGTTGGACGCCGAGCAAGTGTACTCCCCCGCGTGTCTCGCGGCGACGGACTCGATGCTGAGGATGCTATTCTTTCGCGTGGTCGCC